TATAAGATCAAAAAAACTTGCATTCTTTTCAGGTCAAAAGTGTAAATTATGAGATCAGAAACTAAAATAAGATTTTAGTAGACTCCTTGGCACTTTTGAGGACCGAACTCAACCGCTTTTCAAATATTCCTAAATCACCTACCGTTATCATTATATGCCGAAAATTTTGGCATATAATGATAATGCTGGGTTGAGACTTTCTTTCTCTACAAAAAATCGGTTCTTTTGGAGTTGCGACCTACTAAAAACATCTGAAACTAGTTCTCATTGACTTAAACTAACATCCTTCAGGTGTTGCCCAATGCACTGCCGGACTTGCTTCGCTCGCATGGTGTCGATTTTTTGTTCGAATAACTGCAGAATAGTTCGAGTTGGCTGCCAGGGTTGTGATCAACTGACAAATGTTCAATATTGAATAGAAAAAGAAACAGTTGGTCTAAGTGCACTCACTTTCTCAGTCTGATTCGGTAGAGCGAGTATGCGATACTTCCGTGCGGGTAGATTATCACGCCAAAATTCGATCTGAAGTAGAAACTCAGTAACGGAACTGAAATCAAAAATCCGGTCACTCACTTCATAACCACGGAAGAAACCATTGACGGTAGACTCCGGCACAAGCTCCCAAGCAAAACTGACCGAGGAGAAGTTTACGACTTTCTCAATGCGGAAGTTACTCGGTGACTCAGAAGGCACTAAGAATTGCGAGGTTATTGAGACGGATTCAATAGAAAAGTCAAAGTATCACCATCTTCTCCAGAGTATCCCTTTATAACTTCTGGTTCTAAAATGCTAGGCCCGAGTGCATTGACAGCTCGGACTTGCACTAGGAATTCACGATAAGTCGGCTGTTCACGGATAATTGTGTGATTCTGAAATAAAAATTGGTGGCATTTTTATATTGATTTGAATATGGAGAAGTCCAGAGAACTTACGGCTTGTGAATCTTCCACGAGAAATTCTGTCCATGCCGTGTGAGGTTCGTTCAGTTTATACCTAAAGCAGAGGCATGACTCATGACATAGATAGAGGATTACGGTACCTGACTAAATACTGTAAATTGGGCGCGTTCCAGTAGTACTTATCCATCGGCTCCCAGTACACTACTAAGTTATCCGACTCCGTCCCTTCAGCTCTCACTCCAGCTGGGTTCGAGTACGGGAATGAAGGCCTTGTTGAGCAAGAAACGGTTTTAACCTCATCTGAAGGTATCTTTTTAGTTTATAGACTTTACTTTCAAACGAATATATGATGATATTTGTTAAGCCGTCTAACAACAATAATTTGATTCAACTTGATTCGAAAATGATTTCTTGTAAAATCGCTATTTCTTTTTTCATTCAAAACACCCAAGGCATGTAGAATATAGTTTGGATTTCACACCGTATGTTCTATCTGCAGGTTTTCGGTCACTGTATACGTACTCAACGAGCCGTGGATTGTTAAAAAAATTTTGAGATAACTAGCAAAACAGATTGTGAAAAAATTGAATAATTTCGAATCAAAGGAGTTTCGTAAGTGCTGCATAGAGGCTCTGTGTAGCCTTCCAACCGATAGCAGTACTTTTTGTATAATTTTAAGTTTGTGACTTTCAAGGATATTGTCAAACCTTCTTTATCTAGAGCCGCATTCAGATCCGAGCGACCATGCGAGTTCTCAGCAATAACTCGGAAGGTGTAATTTACCTGAGTATGGAAACTGTAAGCATTTTACCAACAATGACAGAAGGAGAGGTCTTACCCAAGGTGTCAATGTGACATCAGCTTCATAGTGCTCTTTTTCAACATTTAATTCGTCGACGACTCGTTCCCACACGTTCTGTAGAAAATCATTTGTAAAACGGTTTCGATGAGGTTTCCTTCTTACCTTGCGAAAATCCGTATGCATTTCAACTGTGTATTTTTTGATTTGATCGCCATGCTCATCCGATGCTTTCCATCGTATGACTGCTTTCCTTTCAGAGCATATTACCGGTTCCAGGATTGGATGCGCGGGAACATCTGAGAAAGGCATTTGAATAACAGATTATGGTTGCTAAAAAGACCTGTAAACCTTTTACTATAAGCTTCATAGATGCAAGTTTAACGTCAACATCAGTGACTGCGGCGCAGTCTATCAGTCCAGAATGTCTACCACGAGCTTTATTGATACGCAGTCGATCGGGAAGTATACTAAAGTCTCTCACTTGGTCCCAGATGGATAAATTTGCTATGGTGTGGACTTACTGAAATGTGGAGCTCTCGTTGATTATTTTGCCATTGATTGTCCATTTATAGTGCACTTGAAGTCGAGGATCTGCTATGGCTTCACAATGTAACTCGGCCGAGTTACCAGCTTCTAACCACAACTTCTGAGGGGTCGGAATTTTCACAAAGTAAGTTGGCTCTGTAAGTTCAATCTATAAACTAGAGAGAAGTTGAAGGCTTGTTGCTGCTTACTGAACACTTGAAGTCTATTAGTTGCACGAGCGATTCCATACTTATTCGACACATTACAGTAGTAGAGTCCTTCATCAGCACTACTTAGGTCTTGTATTATGAAGGTGTTGTTAGGCAGTAACTGAAATAACAACGGTTTGCATATTGATATGGATGTTTCACGTATGTTTCTGATTCATTCAACTTCTTTGATGAAATATTGATGAGATATTCAGATCTTGAGGACCAATTGCTTCATCTATGTATGAACGATACTTTACAAATATCGCAAAGAATTTGACAGCGATATGATTTTGAATACGTGAGAATTATTCAGAATCTCCACAAAAG